TGTGAAGATGTGTTCCAGTTTCCGAACTATATGGTCCCACGTCGGTATCTTTCCCGTGGAACGGTATCTCTAAGCTATAATGACATCGGACTATTTGTCTCTTCCGTTCAGAAACGGAAGCGGGAATAGCGGCTAAGTTACTAATTGGTATCTCGCGGATATTCTGTCGAACAGTTGTAGTGCTACTAAGCACCTAAGCTGCCAGAAGGCGGCGAGCAGCCTCTGTACAGGCTGCATCATCCCCAAATTTTCAGGCTTTTCGTAACCTGGGCGAAGTTCGACTTGGCATAATGTCCAATGATGGCAGTACCATGGTGAGCAGGTGGCTAAGTTTTACATAGGTCTCACTACGGTGTCCAACATTTCTCGGTCAAAGTTAATTGCAGCCGCAACAGCAATGCAATACGTGTGCTTTGCCACAACCACATCAAAACTTCGTTCTGTGGGTATTGTTCGCAGAATAAACCCTCTACTTACCAGTAATCGGGTGATTCATCATAATATTTGGTAGAAATTTACAATTGCAATTTACACTTAAAAGAAGATCAACTTTGCGTTTGAAATTTGAGACCAGTAATTTCAAGGTGCAACTAATATTTGCAGTTGGCCCACGATTCGAAATACTTCAGTACGTACGGTAGAAGGTTCATTGAGGTGCAGCTTTATCCAGAAGCAATTTTTAAGTCTGTGCGTTCTTACTCCACGAGTTCCAGAAGGTGTTAAATCAGATTCTTATAGTTGTACATTTTTAGTAGTTTTTTATGTGGATGCTCATCCGTACTGTAATCATTCTAAGGCCCGATTTTGTCAGTTTCTAAATGTGGTATCTTGACATTATGCGTTTTAATTCCATTTTCAACAGAGCAACTTATTTTTTAAAAAAGATCTGTGTTGCGTTTCGCTATCAGTCAGTCTGCTGATAATGAATTTTAATGGTGGACGTAGCGACACAATTTACGTGGCTGACTTTTCACGGATAAAACGCGTGTTTATTAGATTTTAAAGTTAGTTCAGTCAGCCATACATTAACTTACTGATATTGCTTACACATATATATTACTCAATGGTTTCAATGCTCATATCAAAACTTTTCTGCTCGTAGCGGTCTCGCAGCAGTTATTAAAATTTTCAGTAGAATTTCTCATTATATCCTCTCTATAAGATGAAATAGGATGATTAGTGTTAATTAAAAGGGTATTTATCGCTTAATTTTTTCTGTGAGACTGACCATTTAAATTATCTGCGTAGATTATGGGTCTCTTTAGCACAATCAAATCATTTTGGCAATTTTCTTAAGCTTATGCATGTCTGGGTGTATGTTTGCATGCATGTGTCGATTGGTCCTCTATGTGCCCATGTATGCATGCCTGGTGGTATGTGTACATGCATGTATCGGTGGGTCTTCTAGCAGTAAAAAAAAGGAAGCTGGCTGCATATAGATCATCCATTACGAGATGGAAGGGAAGTAAATTTTCTCTGTGAAAATACTCCCTCCCGCTTCCTGCTCATCACTATTCCCAGTAGGCAATAGGGCCATTTACTGCAGACAGCACTTGTCGTGAATCGATTAAATAAACTTTACAAATGCATTATACTTTTGTTTCGTTGTCTTGGTTATCGCTTTTATTTGTTATTATATATATTTTCCATTCAATTTGCGTTTTCTACTGTAGTTATTTGTATGATTATCATGTTAAATAATCTTTCTTACAGTATTATTCTAATCGTTCGAGCTTGATTATAATATTGCGACAGAAAGTTACCCTGTATAATGGAGAGCGTTTAATGTGGCGTTTGCTGAGGGTAATACAGCAGTTATCGTAGATTTGTAAATGAAAAAATATTAATACATTGTCAGGCATTCTTCGTACTTGACCGTTTAGCAGTTTATTTCGGTGGCGCTAGCGTTTTGCAGAAGCCGGTTTCACTTCCTCCCATGTCCCACCTCATTTTCCTCACACCGCATACAAATTTTTAGACGTTTCGTCCGTCCGTTGTGACACCGGTTATGTAAATGAGTCTGATCGAACAGCTGGTGCATCAGTACAGCACGCTGACGGCTTCGTTGACGGCAAACATCGCCCGCATTCAAAGATCCAACGAAGGTTGGTGCTGCTGTTTGCATGTATGTTCAGTTTTCAGTGTTAGTACGTTTTGGTGTTATGTTAATTTTATGGATGATGTCACATATGGTCATGATTATACTGTGTGGCCATAGCTTGTGAGTTTACCTTCTTTCGTAGGTTACTTCCCATGTTCTCTGCATGTTAAGTAATTTTCTTGTTGAAAATGCATGTTTTTTTTATAATCATTGTGTCACTATTTCAATTTGAGATTGTTTATCGGTTTATTTTTCACAAGGCAATAATTAGAAAATTAACTAGGTAACAATGAGTTGAAGGTCGAAAGCCAAATCGGGCTGCTTCGATGGAATAAAATCAATTGCCTAATGTTTATTCGTTTGACAAAACTTAATCCTAATGTTGCGGGGTAGCTAGCACATCGTAGGTTTCTAATTTCGGCGATTATAATATTTCAAATTCTGATACTCAACATTAGCGCATCGTCCCCACCCCGTTTGTAGCCGATTGCGGGGCCCATTTAAGCAGATTATGGTTCGATGGTATTTAACCACTTACAGCGCACTTGATGCCTAGCTGTTCAAATTAGACGTTGCTGCCATGCGCAAGAAGTTGCGTTGGATGCCGGACCCCATGTAAAGGTGGTTCTGTGCTGAACAAAGGCGCGCGTAAATTAAACAAATTAGACAAAAGTATATAATATTGCAGGTTTAAAAGATCACATGGTAGGAGCAGATGTCACATCCTTGTTTCAGTTAATTTAACCATAATCTCGGACTCGATATATTGTTTAAGGAGCATCCGTCTTAAAATTTAATGAAGACCCGCTTGACCACATGTAGTACCGCACTTTGCCGAACATTTTATTGAAAGATTCGACAAGAAATTTACGGTATTACCGAGTTTTGATCAGCTGTAGTACTATGGAAGGAATTAGGACTCACAGACTATTAAACCTGTACAAAGTATATAGATTTGAAATCAACCGTGCTTTCGCAGTGCTTAAATGCGTGTCGAAACATCTGATTTCCTGAAGCTCATTTAACCACCTTCCACCAACGCTCTAAGCGCGACTTACTTCCATGTCACGAACGAGCAGATGCTGACCATAATCAGTCTGAGAAACTTATCGGACGAACTCTGAAGTCTGGCACCTGGCTTGCTTTAATAAAATGTTGCAGAAATATAGAGAAAACTTTTCACGTTGTAACCGCTAACTAGCCATGGACGTGTAAAATATCGTCGAGGCAGATCTCCTGACGACGAGGAATATGACCTAGTGAACATTGCTTATATCGATTTGAAGCATCGTTGTTTAATGGTACGTTTAAAAATTAAATTCATTCAGAAGCTTTTTGTTATGGGACAGAATCACGTAAAAGATTGATTGATATCCGCGGACAGTACGAAATCTGGAATCATTTGTACAACCATACCAATTCACGAACAGGAATAGCAAAATTGGGCTTATGCAGCCCCTTCTCCGGATTTTAGAGAGACTGTCTATGCCAGCTCAGTTGTCCAGGCTTTTTCGATCTTAGAGTATGGTGACAACATAAGTGGGTAGGTCGAAGTGAAGGAGCAGCACGACGCTTCGCAATAATCTCATATCTTGGTTCAAGAGACCAACCGGCAACGCTCGGTTGGAAAATATTAGCAGACTCATGAATTATTCAATCATCAGCCTCATCAGTCGAGGTAGACCTTAAGCCTTGAAGGTGTTTACGTTGCATGGTGAAATTATTTTGCTTATATTGTTTGTAAAAGTCTAATTATCTATATTGCTCATAGCGACTACGTCAGGAGCAAGCTAATAAAATGGTTGATTGATTGACTGACTGATTGATTAATTGATTGATTGAAAGCTGCTGTTATACACAATCTTTGCAGATGTAGAATTTACGTGTTTGGTAATGATACGATGAACTCAGAGTTATCACTGAATTCATAGTTTTATTAATTTATGTCAGTGTACCCCCTCTACTCTCAGAATGCCAAAATGGTCGGTTCTTTGAATTATCTGATGAAACCGCTTAAAAATAGAGTGGGATTCTGCCTGCACAGCGTTAAACGTGAAGGAACCATCCAATGATGGACCTGCATCTGATAACGATGCATATGAACTTATTAGTGCAGTGAACAATATGCGCTTTTTTAAATCTGGGAATCGTTTAAAACGCACCGGTTATAACTTAATGGAAAACTTTCATGTAAGTGTTGCTAAATTTAGATGAAAATGACGACAACAATGAACACTTGATTTATTCTGGACGGTTGTCGTTTTCCGAAAGATTAACATCCACTTCCGTTAAATCAGCTATCTAGTTATGTGATACAATGCAATATAAGTATTTTACGAGTAGTGGGTGCCGCTTTCTTTGTGCCCCTCCAAATTTCGGTGCAAGTTTTATTTTTTACTTGTTTACGAGTTTGTCGGTGTAGGAGATGTGCAGACCAGAAGGTAACTGTTTGCAGACGACCTTGTTCTGTATTTACTAGTGTTGGAAAATTTGAGGAAGAGATCGACCGGCGAATTGGAGTGGCGTTCTGCGTGAACTAGCTCGATCGATTGTGACTAAAGCAAACTCAGTTTAAAGACAGCGACTAACTCATCGCCTTGGCTGCTCCGGACTATTCTATCCACATACAACACAGACAGGAGAGGGGCAGCACGCAGCCTTGTAGGGGACTAGTGACAACGCTGAAATTTTCCTTTTCATAACAAAACATAATACACTTTCAGGATATTAGGTTATTTAGACAAAACCTGTGATAACTTATACTTTTCTGTATATATGATACCTTCCGATTTTATCTGTTGTCATTCACAAGGCAACTATTACGTACTAATCGAGCAATTGAATCAAAAGATTTATGAGTGTCTCTGACTTCAGGATAAAAAGATTAAGCTAATGATTTTGATTAAAATTCGATTACGTACTTCACTGACTAATAGGACATCGAAATCGCCTTTCGAAAGATAATTGGGTAAATGTTGTCGAAGCAACTTACCTTTCGTTCAGAAGCATGTGTATGACTTTCGCCGAGTATGAATGAGGCAGAAGGCTAAAAACCGTAGTGTCCATCAAGCTCTGTAGATCATATCGACATAAAGAATACTAACCGCCTGACCGGTGGAATCGTATCATATCTGGGCCATAAACTCCCGGTATTCAAGTCGATCTTTATCCCCATGCTTACTTACGGCCATGAGTGGTAGACCATTACTGAAAAACTTCGAACCTTGGCACAAGCTGCTGAAATGGGCTTTATTAGACGAGTTGCTCGCCTTACGTGTTTAGACATGGTCCGGAATACTGACATTCGAGAGAGCCTTGGTGTACAGCATTTGCTTCTCCAAGTTGAGAAGTCACAGCTGCGATGGCTTGGGCATGTGTTGCGAATGGCTCCAGAAAGGAAGGCTATGCAACTGTTTCTTGTCAAACCGACCGGCAGAAGGGATGGGAAGATTAACCTGGTACAAATATATAGAAGGAGTTTGCTCGAGACTCCAGCTGTTTTCTGCCGAAGCTCATACTCTGGCACAGGTTCGGGAACGTTGAAAGCACTGTCTGACGAGTCTGCTTCCGCGACCTGAAAGGAGAAGCGGTCATGGAAAATGAAGAATATGAAAAGAAAATTTTCTAAACGTTGAAAATCAGGTCTTCCTTATACTTTCACGATGGGACCATTTCTGAAGCCCTTCATATGATGGTTTGTTAAGTTATTGTTGGCTTAGTGGTGGGCTATTGATCTCCATTTCTGTGCCGTCGCTCAAGAATGCCTTATTCAAAAGGCAGCAGAGCTGTGTGACAAGAATGGTGTTTAGTCTCTTGTTTCCTTCCCAATGAGTGGTACTCATTTATGAACCTGTGTTCTTAGTCAGATGGTCTACCACCAATTGAACAACCCCGCGTAGATCTTGTAATATTAAACAAACAATGAAAAATATTTTGGTACTAGTTGAAACAAAAATTAATTTTAAAATTTAAATTAATGGTATGCCTTTAGTTCTATAGATGCAGGCACAGAAATTAAGTTTGACCCTTGGTCGTTGCTTTGGTTTGCTAGGGCGGTCTGTTGCTTATGATGAAAAAAACGGTTTTGAAGGGTTAAAGTTCTTGTTAACACACTGCTGTTTACGAACCAATATATTTAGGATGTTCGTAAGGTATCTTGTAATGAGTGCCAGCTGCTGAGATGTCGTTTGTGATGAGCCGGATGTTGATACAGATAGTAAAATGATGCGAGGCGCATGTGCCATTGTAGGAACTTAAATGCCATAGACCAGTGACCTGCTTATATGTCCTGAGGGATAAGAAGCGGTACAATATGCCATGGTTTATTGCTGCCGTGGTAATCGGAGTAACATTTTCGTAATGGCGACTGAGCCTTAGGAAACATAATCGCTTCGTCGTATAGAGCCGCTGACTGTTGAAAAATACTTACATGTCTGGTTGTTAATATATTACATAGTATTACAAAAGAAAATATAACGATACTGTTCTTTTGCTCAGATATGTTACTGCATGTACTTTTTAAAATGGCGAAAAGTGTTCTTAGAACTTTTGCTAGGTAATTAGTCTTGAAGGTTGACACCCTCCTATAAACAAAATCATTTTTCCTTAAGGAGATGGATATTCCGTATAGAAAGTTATTTTCAACCTATAACACGTTGCTTCCATTTAATTAGTTAATTAGTTGAGTACTTTATAAGCGAATCACGTTAGTTTTTATGTTTTTCGATTTAGGTGATCTGAAACGAATCATAAATGAAGGTAAATGCCAGATCGCCGACATCGACGAATTGTTGGAACAGATGGAGTTGCTGGCTCCTGATATTGAGGATGAAAATGACCGTCGCAAATACCAGAACACGATGAACAGCTTCAAGACTGACGCCAAATTGCTGAAAGCTGAATTGGTATTTCTGTAAATTTCTTCTTATGAGATTTTAATTAATTAAGCATAATTAAGGAAAAAGTTACTTCAGACCGCGGTAACAGTGAAGATACCACAAACGAGGATGCGTTCGCTTTAAGTGACAGTCAGGTAAAGGCTGATTTTGCATTATTTCGTTTGGTCATTATTGTTTGTCTACATTCCAGTTAATGATTGCTTTTCTTTCAGCGGTCTCTTCTCATCGATAACACCACTATTCTGGAACGATCGAATAAAACGTTGGTCGATAGTTATGCAGTGGCTTTGGAAACCGGTTCGTGCTTTAAGTTTAATTTTTTAAACTGGTAATGAATTCACAGAAATATTTCAGGGATCGAAACAGACTAAAGTACGTCTATGCGGTTTTCTGTATAAAAACAAACAAAAATCAAAAGAAAAATTTAAGATAAAAATAAACACCGATCTTATGGGTTTACTAGGAAAATAACTCCCGTAGTGCAGGTGGTCATAGAAGGTGTTATTTTTTGCCGGCGGTATCAAAAACTAGCAGTTTGTGGAATAAACCTATAAGTTCGGCGTTTATTTTTATGTTTAAATATGATTATGGATGATGAAATATCGGCAGGTGTCCGAGTAGGATGGTATTGGCCCTGGCCAGAGATACAG